TACAAAACTATAAGTATCATGTTGCTATACTAATACAGATTTGTGAAGTAGCAAGGAATTATAAAATGTTGCATTGCTATATGGTAACACAGAACTATAAAATAGCAAAGAATGATGAAATATCACTTTGGTATGCTATAGCCAGAGCTATAAAATGATCATTTAAATAATACTTGAAAGGTAAGTTGAAAAAATAGATATATTTGCTTATTAAATGTATGACATTTCAAGATTGTAGTCATTCTGTATTTGCATTATGGCAGTAATACCGTGAAATTACCTCTAGACAATGGGCACCTTTCCGTAAAGGTCAGTTTTGGGGTTTCCCCCTGAGTGACCCTTGTACGTATGTATACACAGGCTTGATTGTGGAAATCTGTGGGATTTCTAATAACACAGCGTATATATCGTATATATAGCATACGCAGTATAGATATGTACATGTTTATAACAACAGTAACAGCAGCAACCAAATACAATACCTAATACAAGAAAATTGGTTGTGCCAATGTCACGACATGTTATTGACATCGCAACAGTCTCGATGTCCCGGCTTAAACATCTTGACGTCTCACCGTAGACGTCTCAATGCCTTGCCCTAAACGTCTTAATTTATGTCTCCCAATCAACATCTCGCTGCCTCACACTAATTGTCTTCACATCTCCACGTAAAAATCTCAATGGTTCACACTAAACGCCTCGCTGTCTTGCAGGATGTTTGGAGCTGTCTCATGATGCGGCGCCCCACTATGCGTGCCTGTGTGCTGATGGCTTTGTACATGACCCTGCGAACCCTGACCAGTGCATACAGTACTTAGCCTGCTTAGGTGTTACGTGCGGAACACACATGGTGAGTGTAACAACTCGTCACAGAGCCTGCATGTATATATATATATATATATATATATATATGTATATATGCTTGCAAGGGTGTCAATAGTGCAAAAACATATCACACAACCCGCGTAAATAAATGTATGCTTGAAGGGGTGTCGTCGTTTGCGGACCATCCATGGTGAGTGTGACAACATGTCACATAGCCCGTGTATATATTTATATATGTGTGCGTGCGTGCGTGCATGCATGTGCATGCAAGAGAGGCAGGATGACTTGAGGAGCACACATGGGGTGAGCGTCAGTGCATATAGTAATGGTATAATGAATCAGATTATATAATTGATTGAATATCTCCGTTATTATGATTCAGGAATGTGTGGACTTGATTGGTTCCTATGAGTGCCGCTGCATAGATGGTTACATATTTGATGACAACATGAACTGCTTTAAAGATGAATGCTTAAGCGGTCCATGTCAGGTAGGCCTCTTGCATCTCTGTATGATTGATTGGCTGACACACGCTTGTTTACTGACCTGTTTTAATGAAATGGATGCACAAGAAACCAAGGAGCTAAATATAACAAGGAGAGGAAGCGCCGCCATATCTGGCCCAAATATTTGCCATATTTGGTCATATTGGTCCAGAACAGATTAGTGTTCTATTGTCTCTGGGGGACGGATCTGCACAGCCGTTTCAGCTGATTATGGTCCATAGATGGCGTCCTTGAGGCGAAAAGCACACAGCCAATCCGCTTCCTCTCCTTGTTATATTTAGCTCCTTGCAAGAAACGTGTGGTGTTTTTTAGAATGGCGGGACCTGCATAACTTGGCTAGACGGCTTTCACTGCGAATGCATCGCTGGCCTGACCGGGATTTACTGCCAAAGCCGTAAGCTGATGCGTTTCTCACTGATCATTGTATTGTAATGTGATTAATGGACCTATCCATTTTTCTTTTTTTTTACGTGTGTACACCGAATTATCAACTTTATAGTACTTCATTGCCAAGCTTTGTCTTTTACGGCGTCCTGTCATAACAATGAATATGTAGAGCTGCCTGTCAATCATGCCAGGTGAATAGGTCTGTTGCAAGTTATTAATTTCAATATTATTGATTGAAATAACTTTAAACTTATTACACCAGATGACAGATGCTGGAAGTAATGATTTTGGTCTAATATCCTAATAAAATGATCTCATATATTATACTAGTAAATGTGATAACATTATACCGAGAAACTGTGAGAGTTTGACCGCAGTTACATTTATCGATAAAAAAAATCGGTCATTCATCTTAAGATTCCGAATGAAAGCGGGATCACCGATATAATTTACGATACTCGCGATTTCCCTTTGCGACCATAGAAAAGATGTCTGGCATTGCCGGCCTGCTCACCGAAAACAAGCACGCATTCGTCGGCGAGCCAATCTCGTTTCTCTTCTACCTCGAGCACACGGGCGACGACGCCAGCCTGTTCTGGAACCTAGGTGACCGGTTCAGCTTTGAGTCGACGAGCTTCCGCGTGGAGACTGACATGGCGTCGTACGCGCTGGCGACGCTGAACACTACGAGCGACGTTGCTGTGGCCGTGAACGTTCGCGAGTACACGCACGTGTACCGCAGCGCCGGCAACTTTGTCGTCGCCATCGACGCCATCAATGGCGGCACGCTGCAGTTTATGTCGGAGGTCACGGTGGAGGTTCTACGCGACCCCAGCAGCTGCCTGCCTGATGTCAAGGTCTGTCTCGCGCTGTACGCTGTCTGTTACAATAGCTAAATATCTGCATACTGAAGATTAGGGTCTCTCTCGCGCTGTACGCTGTCTGTTACAACAGCTAAATATCTGCATACTGAAGATTATAGGGTCTCTCTCATGCTGTACACTGTCTGTTACAACAGCTAAATATCTGCATGCTGAAGATTAGGGTCTCTCTCATGTCGTACGCTGTCTGTTACAACAGCTAAATATCTGCATGTTGAAGATTAGGGTCTCTCTCATGCTGTACGCTGTCTGTTACAACAGCTAAATATCTGCATGCCGAAGATTAGGGTCTCTCTCATGCTGTACGCTGTCTGTTACAACAGCTAAATATCTGCATGGTGAAGATTAGGGTCTCTCTCGTGTCGTGTGCTGTCTGTTACAACAGCTAAATATCTGCATGCTGAAGATTAGGGTTTCTCTCGTGTCGTACGCTGTCTGTTACAACAGCTAAATATCTGCATGGTGAAGATTAGGGTCTCTCTCGTGTCGTGTGCTGTCTGTTACAACAGCTAAATATCTGCATGCTGAAGATTAGGGTCTCTCTCGTGTCGTACGCTGTCTGTTACAACAGCTAAATATCTGCATGCTGAAGATTAGGGTCTCTCTCGTGTCGTACGCTGTCTGTTACAACAGCTATATATCTTCATGCTGAAGATTAGGGTCTCTCTCATGTCGTACACTGTCTGTTACAACAACTAAATATCTGCATGGACAACATCAGGATCTGTCTCTTGTGATGTCTATTTGAACAGCTAAATAGCTGCATGTACAACATCAGGATCTGTCTCTTGTGATGTGCTGTCTGTTTGAATAGCTAATTAGCTGCATCTCTGATATCAGGATCTGTCTCTTCTTGTGTGCATGTGCTGTCGCTTGAAAAAATGTCAGGCCAAATAACTGCATACCTGATGTAAATATCGTCTTATGCTATACGTTGTTGTGTCACAGTGCTTACATCTCCGCATGACGAAATTTCATGTCTATGCTAATGATAATTATTAACTTGTTACAATGGATACTTTCATGCCATAAGTAATGACTGTTTAATGACACGTGCCATCTAGTCAGAATGAGGAAAAATCAATGCTTGGGGCAGGGATCATATTTAGGTCCTAAAAGACAAGTACTATTACTTACAATTGCCGTATTCCAGGTCTCAAAGGTCCTGGAAAATAGCCTATGGTCCTGGAATGTCCTGTCAAATAGGCTATCACTGTGTTTGGTCCTAGAAAGTCCTACATATACCTTCCATTGCCAGTAAACCCGCAAAAACAACAAAACCTCGTGCCTATGTAAGCCGACAGCCCGGCTTGCCGGCAGAATCATTAGTAATCTGAATCGCACGATCTGTCTGAACTGGCTGAGACCGCGTCTGCCGTCTTCTGCTTCGCAGGTGGTCAACGCGGGGCAGAATGTGATGACGGCTCCGCGCTTCAAGCCACGCGACGAGTTCACGGTGACGTCGACGGTCGCGCTGCGCTGCACGCACGCCGCCGTCGCCTACGCGTGGTTCATCTACCGGCTGCCCGCCGACAACCCGTTCCCGGTCGCGGAGAATCTCGTTGCCATGCCGACGGCGGTCGCGCATGACCGCAGCTATCTCGCGGTGCCTCGGGGCGCGCTCGCGGCCGGACACTACATCGTCAAGGTGGACGTCACCGTGACAACCAGCAGCTACAGCGTGACAAATAGTGACCAGGTAGTGTTGTTAGTTGTTAGCTGATGCCCATTATACACATAT